GGAGAAAGCTTTTTAAACAAAAATTGTACGGCATAAGAAACTATATAACTTTTGTTTAAAACGTTTTTTCCTATTTGCAGTAATTGTCGAGATAGCATAGAGGGGATGAAACTTCGAGGAGCAGTTTCATCCCTTAAACTTGAACCATTGCCGATAAAAAAAATATTTTTCATTTTTGGCTACTCTACAAACATGTCAAGTTTCGCCAAAATCGGAGACACACTTCGCGGGTGTTTCTTGTTAGTGGCGAAAAATAGACATATCGTGAAAATAAATGTACAGACTGCAGCATTAATATAAGTTAGTATGACGGGTTGCCTGTCCCTATTTGGACGATAATGCCGAAAAAGACACTCGGCTTTGTTGATAATAATATTTGCAGAACTCTCAATTATGACGAGTGCAACTAACTTTGCACCATGATCGTTACGATATTTTATCGACAGTTTATATGACAGAAGTCGAGCCTCATTGAATTAGAAAGGATGTTTGAAAAAGTTCAACTGAAAAATAAACATTACGGATTTAAGCAGAGTAAATAAGAGTGATATTAGGAGGTTGAATTAATTCTGGTCTTATTTTTGCTAGTCAATTTTTTATCTTTACTTTAAAGAAATGGTTAAATTTATATCAGTCAAAATATTTTCCGTTGTTAGCTGTGACTTTTATTCATCTTTCTGGCAACATAGCGATTCCATGACGATAGAACGATCTGTATTTCGAAGCAATCCAATCAGGCATACATTTTTGCACATCCTCGTAATTATTGAAGTGTGTATCTGCCAAAGCGTGTTGCATCGATCGGAATAGATGGTAATCAGATGATGCTAGGTCTGGAGAGTACGCTGGATGCGGAAGGATTTCCCATTCGAACTTTAACAATATTTATTCAACGACTGAAGCAACATGTGGACGAGAATTATCGTGCAAAAAAATCACTTTGTGTCTATTCTAGCTATCGCTGGTTTTTTTGCATCAATTTGTTCAATTGTCGCTGGTATCGCTCCCCCGTAACTATTTCATTCAGTTTTAAAAATTCACACCTTACTTTCCATATCTCATCAAATACAGAGCATTGCTTTCTGACTGTGAATGTTCCGTTTTAATGTCGATGTTGATGGTCGTCCCGGATTAACCCATAATTCTTTTCGCTTTGGATTATCAAAATAAATCCACTTTTCATCTCCAATTACAATTCGCCGCAAAACATTTTTTTATGTCTAGCAAGCAAAAACATGGCGATATTCGAACGATCTGCAATGACACTTTCACTCAATTCATGTGGAATCCATTTGCCTTTCTTTTGAATCTTTCTCACAGCGTGTAGGCGTTTAGAAATCGTTGACTTATCGACGTTGAGTTGTTCAGTCAATTGTTTTTCCGTTTGAGCGATGTTTTTATTCAATAATGCTTGCAATTCAGAATCTTTGAACTTTTTTGGTTGACACGTTCTTTGTCAAGTTAATGGGACTGGAGAGTCAGATTGCTGAAAAATCGTGTTTGTTTTTGATAATATTTTGTAACGAACTGAATAAATGTGCAAGAATGAAAATTTTAGGTATATTTATAACATATGGAGAGTAGAAAAATTTTGTTTATTAACAAATACTCATATAAATATACGATATATATAGTTGAAATATACTCTCCTTTTTTTTTCAACTTGTCGTTGCAGTAATATGTTGCAGTAATATCTCGGCTCTCGATGGTCCGATCAGAGCGAATTTTAACTAGAAACCTTGAGCAGGATTATCATTATTCGATGAACCACTATAAAAAAAAAATCGAACAAAATTAACAAAATGGCAGCTATTATTAGGAAAAAATCCAAATTTTTCAGTTCTTTTGCAGTAAAAAAATTAATATTTCGAAATGAAATATTTTGACGTAATTGTCCATGGTTCATCTGAGAGCCAGATGAACAAATATTATTGCTTTAAAATTTCAAATCGATACGAAGCTTAGTTTCGGAAAAATCATTGCAAAAGTTGAACAATAAAATTTCGAGAGAAACGCGTTTGAAATTTAAGTGGACGTATATTTATATGAGTATTTGTTGATAAACAAAATTTTTCTACTCTTCATATGTTATATAAATATGTCAAAAATTTTCATTCTTGCACATTTATTCAGCTCGTCACAAAATATTATCAAAAACAAGCACGATTTTTCAGTAATCTGACCCTCCAGTCTCCTTAAATCGAAATCATCACTTTTGAATCGTTGAAACCAAAACTTACAGTTGGAATACGATGAAGCTCGATAAGAGCTCACCATAAGTTGTAAGAAGCATTTCATGAATTTTAGTTTCCAATTTTTTCAAATCAAACAAAAAAAGTGATGAATGTCAAACAACTATCAAGCCTTATTTTCGGTAAAAGAGACGTCAAAATACAAGAGTATGATGTACCAAAAATATGTCACTTGATAGTTGTCGCCGATTAAGTGTTCGCAATCAATATTTATACTGCGTTTCTGGTTGATTCATACCTTTGCAGAAGAGATTTTGATGTTACACCTTGTATACAAGTTGATGATATACGCAGCAAACCAAGCGCGCAAAGTCGATTTCATCGAAAAGTTGGAATATCTGGGACTTTTGTCGTGCTACATTCTGTACACAATCGTGTAATATATTTGCTTGGAAATGACCGAAGCGACGCGACAGTTTATTGCGCAACAAGTTAAACAACAAGTGAATGGATTTGCAGATCCGATGACAATTAATCGAGACAATTATTGGGACATTCAGCTCGCGTTGAAGATATTATTCATAGATGTCGCGTCGTCTGCATAAGAGTGCCTTTGGGGCCGCGAGCTTCAAGAGGCTGTAAATATAAGATTTTCGTTTTTTGGAGGAATTCATTTACAATTTGATGCGAGATCCGTGCGGATCTATGTTGCTTTGCGCCGCTGCCGCGTAAAAGACGCCGAGGTAAGAGGACGGCCCGTCAGGCGTACAGAGCTTAAACTTTATCAGATTATAATAAAACTTGGTCCGCGCGGACTCTCCGCTCTCTCTCTCTCTCTCTCTCTCTCTCTCTCTCTCTCTCTCTCTCTCTCTCTCTCTCTCTCTCTCTCTCTCTCTCTCTCTCCCCTCTCTCTCTCTCTCTCTCTCTCTCTCTCTCTCTCTCTCTCTCTCTCTCTCTCTTTCTCCGAGATGATAATGCCGGCGGCTGACACGTCCTCGATCTCCCGCCATAAATTCCCGATCTATGGAAATTTCAGCGCAAATACTTGCTCGCGAGTTACAAAAGTGATATTACTTTCCCGAACGACACTTTAACGTTTCTGTTCTGGCGAGGGCGCCGTTTTACAGGCGCAGACAGATTCGCCGGAAGTCGATCTGCCGCGACGGAACGTTTCCGTAAGGGTCGCGTAAAAATAAACGGGCACGGGCGGGCGCGTTGGATATTTGAAATCGATGGCGGTACGCGTTTTTCCGCCGTTCGTCTTTTTAGCGAATACGTTCGACGGCAGATTTACATGCACGAAACGGCCAATAAATCGCTAAAAATATCCGCTCTTCTATTTCTCGGCCCGGTATTTTTCAGTCATCGTGCGAGGCCCCGTCCTCTCTCTCTCTCTTTTACTCTCCTCCGCTCGCCGTCGCTTTGAAAACAATGCGCCGCAAAAAGTACACGGTCGTAAAGCTAAATCAACGGACGTGGAGCGCAGAGAGAGAGAGAGAGAGAGAGAGAGAGAGAGGCGTACATGCTCGCATTTGCGAGTTAATTATAGCTGAGTCGAAGGTAGAAAACTCTCTTCGAGTTTGAATCGAACCGATGCGCTTCTTTGTCGCGAGTCGGCCGCGGCGGAAAGAGAAAGATGGATAGAGAAAGAAAGAGAGAAAGCGAAAGGGGGAAAGGAGAAAGGAGGCGGAGAAAGGGGAGGGGGATAGGATTATTTTGAGCTTCTCGGGAGTGCATCCAGGACGAGATGTAAATCCTCCTAGAGATAGAGAGTACTCGAGGAACTTCTTGTCGAAGATAATTCCAGGTTGAGGGTTATATACAGGGAACGGAGTGAAGTACACTTCTGAAATATGATAATACACCGTTCTTCCCACTTTTGCCTTGTACCCTTTGCCGGGGAGGGGGGGGGTGACGGGGGGTATATTTGCCGCGCGGACTTTGTAAAGCGCGACCGTCTATCTCCCGTAAACGACATTATAATTTGAACCGAGTGTACCACACACCGGACGTATTACGAGCGAGTAGCCTCGCGGGAACGAAAGGTTGCTAAAAGCGCCTATTATGCACGGTGATTCTGGTGTGTGTGTCCCCGTTGACTAAATTAAAACGGTTAAGGCAGCGGTGCCGCGTCGTGCGCTTTTTGACTCGGCAGATAAAGTTTCTTGAACGCTACACCCCTGCGAATGTGAATTATACTTGGAGAAAATTAAAAGAGAGAGAGAGAGAGAGAGAGAGAGAGAGAGAGAGAGTTGCAGTGGACGTTTGCTTTTACGTCGCTTTAACGTTGCGGAATGAGGCAGCCGTAACTGCGTTTCGCAGAGTGAAATAACCACGTCGGAGATCGACGATAATGTAACAAGCGGGGTAACCGATAGTCGCGAATGCCGAGAGACACGTATATCCCTTTTTTCTCCCTCCCTCCCTCCACCCTCTCTCTCTCTCTCTCTCTCTCTCTCTCTCTCTCTCTCTCTCTTTCCGTCTATCTCTCTATTTCCTTCTCCTACTCTCTTCGTTTTACTTTAATGCGCTCTACCGCACCGAGACCTCGGCAAAAGTAATCCTCTCCGTAACGTCCCAAAATCGACGAGGAAGTCTCGGATTTGCAGGCGGAGAGACTCCGACGTAGCGTGTTAAAATTTGTTTCAGCAAAATCGTCTCTCGTTGCGGTGCTGGATCCGCGGCTCCGTGACAATTACTCGAGCTCACCCGCTTTCACGGTGCGGCGCGGCCCGCGGCGCCATTGTAACGATAATTAAGCCAGGTGTAACAATCGCGAGTGCTGCAGAGATCCTTTCGTCCTTTCAGGAAAACTCTGCCCTGCTGCAGTTACTCCGCGGCCGACACCGGCGGCCTGGCCAGAAGTTCCGTCTTAGTTAGGGTCGACCCACGGCCCGGAAGCGCGAATTCCGGAAGTTACGCCACCATCGCCGACCTCGAGCCACTGTACGCGAGGCCATGCGGTTCCAGAGCGAGTTACTACGCGGCCAGCCACGTTACGCATCTCAGTCAGGTATGCGATGAGACGATTCTGCGGACGTCGACGAGTGTCGCGATGGCTCACTCCGAAGGCGGGAGGAATATCAAGTGCGAGTTCGCGCTTCGTGCTTGTCAGTCGCAAGTGAGCACAATTGATGCGGTTTATCATGTCAATAATACAAGCACTAATGTCAGTTGGTCAGCTTGATAACGTAATATAATTCACGGAGGGGATATAAATGCACGGAGGGGATCCGAGGGATATGGATAAGCGAAACTTTCGAGACTGGAATCTAAGCGTTTCGAAAGGCGAACTTCATCTCGCGAGAATTTTCACGCGCAAGATTTAGCGGTAAAATTCCCGAGTAGAGAAATTAATAGGACTCTGGTAAGGGCCTGATTATTTTTCTCTAACATTAATAGAGCCCTAGTAGGGATAGAAAGATAAGCCCGACTAGAAATTTATTCCATGGTCCTGATCAGGTTAACTTCATTTGGACATCAGGTCCCAATAAGGTAATACTATCGGGTAATCCTAGTAAGTCATGTAACGCAGCGTGGATATCAGGACCTTAGTAAGGATTTATAGTCAGGTCCTTATTGAGATACTTTATGGAATCCTTATTACGTTTTTTTTTCAAATTATGGCTCCTGATTGCTCGCCACGGCTATATTGGATGACATTAGAAATAAGAAATGACACGCTGAGAATTCTTTCATATCATCTCCAAATAAAAAGATATTTGCATGAAATAATATTTTAGATCGCTGGGACATACTTGTAAAATGTTTCGGAAAAGAAACATAAAATTAATATCATAAGATCATAAAGTATCACAAGGTAACAAGACATAAAGTAGTGTTAAAGAGAAAAGTTGCATGTCACGTTAATTTTACAACTATTTATTGACTGCTAAAAAAAGGATAGTTTCTATAACATTTTACAAATATATTCAAGTGATCTGAAATGTTTTTTCAATGCATACATCTTTATATTTGGAAATGACACCCAAAAATTGTTTTGTTAAAACTTGATAATGCAAATCATATTAGGTACAATGAATAAGATCCCGACAAGGACCTGATTAACTGAACCATATTATATCATACACTAGGTTGGTACATTGAGGTCCTAATGTGGACCCATCATTATAACTTTATAAAGTCCTATTGTAAGGACCGACTTACTTAGGATTACCTTTCATTCACTCTATTAGGTCCTTATCAATGTTAGGTGAACCTGATCAAAATTTCTAGTCGGGAGGGCTCTACAAAATGTGTAACAAATGGTTCAACAGGTTCTTACAGGGTAATATCAATAGGGCCTTATAAGGCCATATTAATAGGGCTTTATAAGGAAATATTAACAAGGGCTTTATGAGGCAATATTATTATAATAAGAGGGCTTCATAGAGTAACGTTAAGATATGGAATTAAAATCCATTCTAAATTTGAGTGAGACATTCATTCTTGCAATTGCGAATCGAAATATTTTTATCATTGCTTGAGTAAAAATATTCGTTCTTTTCATTCCAAGAAATTTAGATTGCAATTTCCTTATTTCTTTATAACGTTGTTAGTATACAACAAGAATTTTTTATTTTAAAAATATATCATACTTTACAATAAAATATAGCATTCTTTGTGTATAAAAATCTTGCTACTGTTTTTATTAAAGTTTGCTGCATTTCAAAACGAAGGCAATACTAGAAAAATCCTTGAAAGAGACTAATGAATATGGCAACTAATAAAACTAATAAAGTTTGCTTTTAATTGCTTGTTTGGTATAATTAAAAAATCTTTAAGAGAATCAAGTAGAGAGAGAGAGAGAGAGAGAGAGAGAGAGAGAGAGAGAGAGCGTACCTACTAAAACAATACTAAATTATGACAATTTTGTTACGCGCTTCAGATTTTATTAATTTTCTATAACAAAACTCGATTTTGTACATCTAAAACATCCTCTCTTAAAATATCCTCCTAAAGCCTACATCAGTTTTCCATGTTAAAGAATTATTTCGTAAAATCTAAGGCATCCCTAAAAAATTCTTCTAAGGACTTTCTCAGCTTTCCCTATCATAGCCTTATTTACTAAATCTAAGACCCCTGATAAATCTTTTCAAGGCCCTCGTCAGTTTTCCTTATCAAAGCCTTATTTCGCAAAATCTAAGGTATCCCTAAAAGATCTATCTCGGGGCCTGATGTGGTAATAATAAGGCATCATCCTCCTTCAGGGCATCTTACTTTCAGCCTTATCAGGGCCTTATGAGGGCCTTCATGAGGATGGTCCTAACAATCTTTTTTGCTCGGGTTGTCGTTGGAACGCAAGCTTGCGCTCACGCGCGACAAGAGAAATCCGAGAAACCGGGAGGGTCGCTCGATAAGGGCAGCATCCGTCAGCTCGGGACGATAAACCGCGCGCGCGACAGAGAGTTTGCTTCACCGTCGCCGCGGTTTTTTCTAATCGCGACGAAACAGCCCGTGAAACAGACTCGAGGACGGACGCGAAATTCGTATTGCGCGTCAGGAAATCCGATTTCCTCGCCGGTCGCCTCCTTCCACACGCCGGCGCTATCGCGAACTCCGCGTCTGCCATCGACTACCGGAAGCGGAAACAGTGCGAGACGACTCCTCCTCCTGTCTCATCCCGCGTCCCGCTCCGTCTCGTCTCGTATACACAACGAGTGCTGTGCCTCGCAACTTTATCGAGTTTGCGGCCGAGCGAGCCGCTTTCCACGGACAACTTTGGCGCGCCCAACCCTTTCCAGCCCTTCGGCTCTTTATTCAGCGATTCTAAACCCACCGACCTACAAGCTCCGCGTCCACCCCATCCGACGGCGAGAGGCGCAGCGGGGCGCGGGACGCGGGAAAGCTCTACGCGTGTAGTGCCTTTTTCGCTCCGACTTCCGTCTCCTCGAGCGTGCCGTCGATTTCTGCGCTGCAAGCGCGGGGATCCCTCCTCGTTCGTTCCTATCGTCGCTTTGACACACCCGCGGCTGCCGGCCGCGTTTTCCATCCCTTTGGCCGCTTTGAGCCCGCGCACGGCGGAACGAGATGTTTCGCGGCTCGATCGATTGCTCGGTCGAGTCCGTTCTTCGGCGAATCGCCGTGTGTTTTCTCCTCCTTTCTCCCGTCCCTTTTTCTCGGTAAAAATCGATGTCTTCCGCCTTTACGATTTACGCGCTAACGGGTGTGAAACTTTGACAAGTTGGCGCGACAAACGGCCGAATAATCGGAGTAAAAAAGCGCGCTTTAAGAGTTGCATTTATCTCTCTCTCTCTCTCCCTCTCTCTCTCTCTCTCTCTCTCTCTCTCTCTCTCTCTCTCTCTCTCTCTCTCTCTCTCTCTCTCTCTGCGAAACGTCCCTCTCCATCTTAGCCCGCGCACGTATCGTTTACACGGTATACTGCGGACGCGGTAAATCACGCGTGTTAGCGGAACAAGCGCAGGAAGAGAAAGATCAATCGTCGCTTGAGTGAAAAAAAAAAAGATAGCGGAGCAGGCGAACGTTGGCGTGTGAGCGGGGCAGCTAACGCGATTTATACGGCCATCTTTATGGGAAGATAAACCAATTCGCAAGCACCGTCGCGGGCACCGCGAAACGCCACGTTTATACATACGTCGGCGCAGTATTTACGAGCCGGCCGCAAACGGTAAAGGTTGAATTCAATAACCGGCCGCGCACGCAATCGTCGGCCGTGTCACGGCCGGTCGCGTCGTTTTAACTACCGTTTTATGCGCGCGCTATTACCCGCCGCTATTACTCCGCATCCCCTGAAGTATCTTCCCGCGAAGTGCGCAGTCAAAGAGAGAGAGAGAGAGAGAGAGAGAGAGAGAGAGAGAGAGAGAGGCACGAGAAGGGGAGAGTCGCGCGAAAATGTCGAATAAATATGAGATCGCGTTTCCGCGCGACCCGCCCGCGCGCGCCGCGCCGTTCGCTCTCGTCGGAACAAGCGTTTTGCATTAATTTCCCCGGGAAAAGAAACGGATACCGGATACCACCTGCACTTTGTCGGCCACGTGAGAGGGTGAGAGAGGGGGAGAGCGTGTCGGCAGGGGTTGCGCATACACACGCACACGGTAACAGAAACGCCGTCGCCGACGCTCGCCCTTCTCAGGCGCGCGCGAAAAGGAGACGCGATATGACGGGGATCGACGACGTCGGGGGGACAGAGAGCGTGCAAGCTGCGGAGGGAGGGGGAGAGAGAGAGAGAGAGAGAGAGAGAGAGAGAGAGTGAGAGAGAGTGAGAAAGAGGACGGAGAAGTGAGCGGTTGAAAGTGGGTTCTGTGATTGTTTCGGCTTTGATCTTGGATCAATTTACCGGGTATACGCGTATGTGTCTCAACCCTCCGACGCGACGCTCAGTCTCCAACGCAACCAACCCTGTGAACACACATAGAGATCCTCGCGCGCGCCGGCTCTTCGCGCATACATATGTACACACGTACGTATAAAATATGCGCACGCACACACACACACACACACACATACACGTGTAAGCGTATGTACACAACGAGGCAGTTGCTCACGCGTATGTACACGCAAGCACGTACACTAACCGATTGATGTAACCATCAACCTCCGTGAAAACTTAGCCTCTCCGCCGCCGAGGCAACCCGGGTCCCTCTCGGACCAACCGACTGACGTAATCCAGCGACGTCTTACCCCATCCTGTAAAACGATACGCTTGAGATCCCATTGCCGGGGAAGCCATTACCTGACGCTGTCTATCGGGGAAACGATCTTCGGCACGAGGACAAACATGTCCTCCTGGATCCTTGCCTTCCTCCCTCTCTCTCTCTCTCTCTCTCTCTCTCTCTCTCTGTCCCTCGTTCGCTCGCTCGCTCTCTCGCTCTGTTCTTCTCCGCCGTACCGCGTGGATTTCTGCGCGAGCGGGCCGCCGCAAGCGCAGGGAAACGGCGAAATGGCCCGGCGACCCGGCATTTTCCGCATGGTCTGTCCGGACGCCAATAGCCGTTTTTTTCCTCGTAAAAGTTGGGCGTACTTCGGCGCGATGGCAGCGGCCGAGATAGCCGA